AGATGAAGGAGGGAGGGGTCGATTAGTCCCTATTCCCGCCCCTAGAACTCCTGGAACCACCACAGCTCTCCCCTCCAAGGAAGCCAGGTGCCTAGGTTCACTCCTCCCAGCCATCCACTTCTGCTCCCCACCCTGGATTGATCCTCCACTCCCTTCCCCCAAATATCCCCAGTCTTCAATCCCCCCCCCACCTCTTCCCCCGCCTCCCCTCCCCAGCCTCCGATTCTTTCCAGTCTTGTTTTCTCTGACTGTTCCCGCCGTACTAATTGGAGACACCCCGCAGGCCTACACTCCCGGCCCCTCCCCTGAGTATAAGGTGATTGGGGGAGTTAATGAGGGGTTTACGGAGTTTACCTTAAGGAGAGCGGGGCTGCGCGCGAGTGTGCTGCGGCGCCGGTGGTGGAGCTAGGAACCAGAGCTAGAGCCCGAGCTGGGTTTGGGGAGACAGGCGGGGCGGGCTTTGCCTCCATAGGGCCGCCCAGAGACTGACGACACAGCTTCTAGCTCCCGCCCTTCAGCCTAGCGGGACTCGCCCCCATCCCCCAGTTCTGTCCCCATTTTCTAGACCATGTCAGGGACCCAGGTGGCTTACTGCTCCCCAACAGCTAGATTTCCCCGATCATTCTATTGGTCTTGATGATCTTCGTGACGCTACTATTCATTCTTACAGCCCAAGCCCCCGACCTTAGTAAATCCTCCAGTTCTCCTCCCCATTTTTTTCTTTTTATTTCTAGATCATCCAGTGACGTCCCTTCCCATTTTCACCTTTCCCTAACCCTGAAGGATAGGAGATAGGAGGAAGAGCTAAGGGGCAGGGAGGACATCGCCCCACTCTTCCTTTGTTGTCCTTTTCCTGAAGGAGGCAGTGTCTTGTAGCCGAAATTGGTAGGCAGAGGACTTGTGTTCAAATCTTAGCTTAATACCTGGGTGACTTTGAGCACCGAATCTCTTTGGGCCTCAGTTCTCCCATCTGTAAAATGGGGGTCGAACCAGATGCCTCTTAAGTTCCCTTCTAGCTTTAAATCATCTTATGATAGCTATGGACACCTCCTCTCTTCCACTAGTAATTTTCAAGCTCTTTTTCAGAGTCCGTGGATTTCAATCACCGGACACCCTCAAAATCACATCAGATTAAGGGAGCTCAGACCTAGTCTCCTCACCTGACCACAACCTCAGAGAATCTCTAGACCCTCATGCTATATACCTCACACTCCACAGATTGCTAAACCCTACATTTCTCACACCCCAAGTGACACCATTTCCCTATTCTGGGAACATCTCCAACCTTCAACTCCACTTTACTTTGTGGAGTATAAGTGTGTGTGTGTCCAATGTTTTCCTCTAACCCTTTTATTCCACGTTTTCTCCCTTCGCCTCTTATCTGCCACTATCCGTACTCGATCAGAAATGAGAAAGTAAAAATATTGTGCTTCTCCTACCTCAGAACAGGGAGTTTGGGAGGATTGGTTCTATATCCCAGAAAGAGACTTCAGCAGAGAAACACTTTGGGACCCCAGTAGATAGTGGGGCTAGAAGACTGCAAAAGAAAGATAACAGCCTTTGGACTTGACTTAGGGATTTAAGTATTCTCTCCAGCCCCATCTGATCTCCAATAACCAGAATTCCCTTCCTTTATTAAAGTGGGGCAGAGTAACCAAATACTGCTTCCTGAAATCTCTTTTCTCATACCTGCCTTTAAGTCTGGGGTGGGAGAATTGTATAGACCAACCTCTTCAAATAAGACATTTTTTAATGGGATTGGAAAAAGAGATACCTAAGAAGTTCCTGTTTAGCCTTGATACAGATACATTTGGGGGATCCTCCCTTATGTTCCCCAGAAAGGAAGCTGCTAAGTAAAGTTTCGGTAGGAAGAGGTTGCTGCTGATTATCTTAGCTAGAGATCTGGGGCAGGTGTCTGAGAGGCAAGACTATGTAATAGTCTGTCTGTTCCCTTCCACCTTTAGAGAGAATAAAGAAATAATTCATATTTCCATATTTGAAAAACACTCTTCTTATAATGCCCCAGTGAGGAAGGGAACATTGTTCCAGTTTATAGATGAGAAAACTGAGATTCAAAGGTGAAGTAACTTATATGTGGTCCTACAGCTGTGAGAACTGAGAAAAAATTTCATTCCTCCACTTTATTTTTAAGTTTTCTACCTATAAAATATTATACACATGTAATTTATAATAATGTAAGAGGAAGCACAGTAGCAAAGTTGATAGAAAACCTAGCCTAGCAGTCAGGAAAACCTGGGTTCAAGTGCTGTTCCTGAGATTTCAACCTTTTTCACAACAGTGGGCATGTCACTTCCACTTTCAGTGTGTGAGGAGGTAACTGTATAAATAAGAGACCAACCGCCAAATCTGCATGGATAGAGAAGCTTCCCATACTTTTGAGTTCCCTGCATCAATGAAATCACAGGTCAAAAAAAATCCCCATTCTAGGAATGCCTTGAACTTTCCCCTCTTTCTTATGGCCTCATAGATCTCTTTTCCCAGCAAAGAATATTCATGAGAAAAATAAAACCAAAAAAAATATTCATGAGGATGCTGGTGTATTGTGGGAAAAGCAGAGAATTTTGAGTCAGAAGGCTGGGATTTGAAGTCTAGCTATGTGACCAAGGGCAAGACATATAAGCTCTATGAGGCAGCTAGGTGGAGCAGTGGAGAGAGTGCTGGGCCTGGAGTCAGTAAGACCTGTGTTCAAATGCAGACCTCATATGCTTATTAGCTCTGTGAACTTGGGCAAGTCAGTTAATGTTTGCCTCAGTTTCCTCATCTGTAAAATGGGGATGACAATAATAGCACCTACCTCCTAGGGTTTTAGAGATAATATTTGTAAAGGGCTTAGCATAATGCCTGGCACTTAGTAAGCAGTTTATAAATGTTAGCTATTATTATTATTATTATTATTAGCTATGCGACCCTGGGCAAGTAACTTGTCTCAGTTTCCTCAACTGTAACACGGGGATATTAACAGTACCTGCCTCACAGGGTTCTGATGAGGATTAAATGGGGTAATATTTATAAAGCAGTTGACACATAGTAGGTTGTATATAAATTCGCATTCCTCTCCCTTCCCTTCCCCTAGAAGCCTGGAGTCCCTGTCTGTAAAATGGCAATATTATGCGCACTACTTAATTCACAGGGTTGTGGGAGAGACAGTGTTTTGAAAGCTTCAAAACAGTGTAGAAATATGTCATTCCTGATCTCACTTCACCCATATCCCTTTCTGACAGTTCTCCTAGGAGCAGGAGCCTCAGAACGGGAAATCACAGGGGATCTCAGTGTGGGGAAGTAGGGTGACAATAGCTCCCATCCCCTCGGTGGAACTTAACTCATTTAATTACCTTTGTGTATGCCCTTCTTCAGTCTTTCTCCCCCGTCCCTCCCAGCCTCCACTGGCCTGGGGCAGCGTGTAGGAAATGGGTATAATAGGCTTACTGCACCATGTCCCAGGTGCACATTTCCTCTTATCGGCCACATCACAAAATGGAGCGAGAAAAAGAAACCACAGCGAACAAAGGGAGGAAAAAACAACAGCTCCATTTCTACCCCCACCCCCACTTCTCTCTTCCTCCTCTGGTGGGGGCGAAAGCCACACCCCAGCCTAAGCTAGGGTCGGCAAATCCCCCAACGGGCTGTTAGACAAGTTAGTTTCACTTCCTGCCAACCCAAAGTTAGGGCAGGATGTCTGGGGGTGGAAGGAGCTACAAGAGAAGGGGCCCTCAGCACTAAGTTAGACAGGCCTTGAGGGGAGTTGCTGTGGGTCTCCTGAGTTTCCCTTTTGCAAAGACTGAACTGAAAGGGTGATCCTAGCCTGATGAAACTATGCCAAAACAGCCACTGAGTTCTACCAGTTTTTCCAGGTTCCCCCTCCAGATTCATGTACAAAGGCTACTACGGATGTGGGTGTGTGGAAGGGGAGGATAGAGTGGAAACATTAGGAGGGAGAGGATTAGGGGAAGGAACGTATACATGTTAATAGTTGCAAAGTAAATGCAAAACAGTATTCAAATGAATCCTGCTTACTCGGCAGTCATCTTAGCTGGGCAGCCGCTGCTGGGTGGAAGAAGGAAGCTGCTGATTTGTTAGGTTGGGATCTTCAGTAGTCGGATTTCTAAGTAACGGAATGTTCACGTGTGGCATATTGATACTGTTACTCAGTTTGAAAAAAGGGCTTCCAAGTGATTTAGTTCTAGCCCGAATGCCTTTCGTCTTCCCCCAGCAGGGAGGACTCTTGGGCATTAGCCTTAGCCAAAGCAGAAGGATGAGGCAGAAACAATTTTCGTGGTAAAGTGCTGCATAAATATCAGCAATTTGCAGACAGTGAGGGGTGGGCTGGGGTGGGGCGGGTGGGGAGGAGAGGAGAAAAGCGAAGACCCGCAGACAGAAACCAGCAGCCAAGGGCCTTCCCAGCCTCGGGGGGGGCCAGCTGAGACGGAATTTAGCCTGGGGGACGTAGTCGAGGGCGGGAAGATTTGCAGTTAGCAAAAGGGGAGGGGAGAAGGGCAGAAATGGGGAGTGCTGGAAGGGCTGTAGGGTCAAGCCCAACCCCTCCGAGCACGCCCCTCCCTCCTTCCCTCGATCTCTTTTTTCCCCCGCACCCTCGGGGTAGAGCCGTAGACCAAGAGGTGGGAATCTTTTGCAGAGGAAGAAACTGAGGCGGGGAGGGGAGGGGAGGGGAGGGAAGGGAAGGGGTGGGGGCGGGGAGGAGAGGCTTAGGCCGGAAGGCAGCGCAGAGAAGGTCACCGAGCCGAGCCCCTCCGCCGATACTAGTCCAAGGTCACCGGGGGAAGGAGGAGCGGGGTCAGGATTTGAACCGAGGTCTCCGGCCTCGGCAGAGCCGGGGAGTGTCGTGGACGCGCCCAGCGCGGGGCCCCGGAGCCGGAGGATCTCGGCGGCCCGGCCCCCTCCTCCGGAGGGAAGCGGCCTCAGGCCTCCTGTTTCATTCATTCCACAGACGCTGATCGAGCGCCGACTCTCCGCGGGGCGCGCACGCCGGCGGCCCGGGGCTGCAGCGTCTCCCTTTCTTCCGTCTTTGCGGCGCCGCCCGGCCAGGGATGTCGTCCAGCCGCCAGCCCGTTCCCGAGGACGAGCTGAAAGGTACAAGCCCCTCTTAATAACCCCCTCCGTTTCCTCGGAGCTTTCAGCCTCGGGCATGGAAGCCAAGGGCGCTCTGTCTCTTTAAGACGAAAATGGCAGCTCGCGACCAGGCCCGGACTCCACTTCCGGTGGAGAAGGGGGCGGGTCCTGGGGGAGGGTGTCACTCACGCCGGAAGTGGTTCTCGTTCCCAAGATGGCGACTCCCTATGTAACTGACGAGACCGGCGGTGAGTGCGGGCGGTGCAGCGTCTCCTCTCCCCGGGCCTCTGGGGGTGGGGGTAGAGGTGGAGGGCGGACTTGGAAGGGACTTGCGCCCCGCCCATCCCGGGGCCCCTCCCCTGTTCCCGCCCCCCCGGACCGCCTACCCCATTCATTCGCTCCTTCGGGGCTGCACCTGCGCCCCCTTCCGGTCCTGTGGCGCCGGGGTCCCACAGCTTCCGGTCACCCAAACCCTAGGCTAGGGTCTCTGCTGGCCGGGGCTAGTCTCCGGGCCTCCGCTGAGCCCCGGGAGTCTCCACCTGGCCCCCGGAGCCTCTTGGGTTCGCCAGCCCGCAGAGCTCGGTCCGTGTCCCTTCCAATCGCCCCTCTTTAGCTTCACCCCCCTTAGGTGTGAAGGGTTGGGAAGGACCCTCTTCCTTCTGGCCCTTGCTCCCTTGTGCCGACTCTCTGAGCTTTATTTGGAGACTTAATCGCCAACGTGGGCCGATTTCAGCATCTCCTCTACCTTCCCCTGGAAACTGTCAGCCTGGGCAGGGAAGGGATCAATCAAGTCAAGTCAAAAGCACTTACTAAGTTCCCACTGTGTGCCAGGCACCGTGCTAAGACCAGAACACGTGTCCCTGCACTCAGCCTGGTAATCAAGCTACTAACATCACCCTTCCTCAGCTCTCTGTCCCATTAAACTGTGGAGAAGAATTGTATGAAGGCCTGCTGGGGGCTAGGCAGCAGCCTTGTGCTAGGATGAGGTCCTGGGAGAAGACAGAGATGGAGAAAGTGAGGTCTCATCCTTAGATGGTATTGGTCCTGGTCACCCATTCTGCCCCAGGACCATAGGGAGGAAACTTCTAGCCTGGTTATCCAAACAAATATACAGACAATATGTGTAGAGTACATGTTGTATATACATATTCCCATGTAGAGCAGATATTGCATAAGTCATGAAATCATTCATACTGAATACACTATAAAGTCATGTTCTCTAACCTTAACTGAACTCTCGCTGCTGTCATCTTTGACTCCCTGCAGTAACTATTCCAAACTTTCTCTTTTAAAACCTAACCTCCATTCCTCCTGTACTGAGACTATGAAGGCTGTCATTCCTAAGTTTTCTCATCCCCCTTCCTCTTTCACTCTCATCTTTAATCTCTCCTGCTATGACTATTTCCTGATACCTAAAAATATTCCCAGGTCTCCTTTAAAGAACCTGCCTTTCATTCTGCTATTTCCTATTTCTCAAGCTATTTCCTATTTCTCTATTCCCTCTTACAGCTAAAGTATAAGAATGAGTAGTCAACACTGGATGCTTCCATTTACCACCCATTTGCTCCTCAGACCCTTTTAGGCTAGTTTCTGAATCCACTGTTCCATTAAAATTGGCCAGTGATTTTTCTAATTGTCACATTAAATGGTCTTTCTCAGTTCTCATCCTTGACCTTTCTGCTGCATTCAATTGCTGCATTGATTATCCCTCCTACTAGATGTTCTTACGTCCTTTGACTTCTTTGACACTGCTCTCTTTTGGTTCTCTACCTCTCTCCCATTACTCTTTTTCTTTTTTCTTTGCTAATTCATCCTCCACCTACTCCCTAAGAATGTCTTAGGCTGTCTTAAAACTGAACTCAACATCTCCCACCAAATTTGTCCTCCCTCCAGACTTTCTGATTTCTGAAGATGCCCCTATCCTGGATCCTTAACAACCTAGATTTAGAGCCTCTGAATTATCTTGCAACCTTGCCTCTCTTCCATCCTCAACATCCAGGCAATCGCCCATTTCTGTTGGTTCTCACTCTATCATCTCTACTCTATCCCATTTTCATCCCTTGTACTGCTGCTACTCTAGTTTAGTTCTTCATCACCTTTCTCACATGAAGTCCTTTGCAATAATGTGACTGGTTTCCCTCCATCCTTCTGGTCTCTTCTCTCACCAACCCATCTTTCAGGCAGTTGTCCGAATGAGTTTCTTAAGCCACAAGTTTGACTTTGTCTCTCCTCTACTCAGAAACCTTTAGTGACTCCCTGTTGCCTTTGAGATTAAATACAAATTCCTCCCTCTGCCTGCCATTCAGTGCCCTCCACGATCTGCTCTAATCTACCTTTTCAACCTTAGTTTACCTTATTCCCCTTTACACCCTGTGAAGCTGGATTATGAGCAGTTTGCTGACTTTGATCTTCTGTTTCCTATCTCCATGCATTGACACAAACCCTTCACTATTCCTGGAATGCACTGCCTCCTCATTTCTTCCTCTCAGAATCCTTTCTTCAAGGCTCCACTCAGGTGCCATTTTTTTTTTCCTTTGGTGAGGCAGTAAGGGTTAAGTGCCCAGGGTCACACAGCTAGTAAGTGTCAAGTGTCTGAGGTCAGATTTGAACTCAGGTCCTCCTGACTCCAAGGCTGGAGCTCTATCCACTACACCACCTAGCTGCCGCAAGAAATCTTCTTGAATCCTACCTCTCCACTCCAACCCCCACCTCTCTCCCCACACACAGCCAGAAGTGTTATTTCTGTTCTCGTTTTAAAGCACTTTGTCTGGATCTCTTCTTTGCCCATATCACAACCTACCTTTTGTTGTAGTTAGCTGCATATTCCTACTTATACTATTATTATTCCTCTTATTTTATACTACTTGAGTATCTGTATATATTGTATCCTTCCTACTTCAAACCCCAGTAGAATGTAAACTTAAGACAAGGAACTGTCATAAATTTAACTTTGTATCCTCAAGGTCTAGTATAATTTCTTGTTTATAACAGATGTTTACAACATATGTACTCTACATACAATTGAGTTGTATGTTGTGTGCTCATGTGAAGCATGCATAATATGTGTTTTTTTGTTTTGTTTTGTTTTTGGTTAGGCAATGGGGTTAAGTAACTTGCCCAGCGTCACACAGCTAGTAAGTGTTATGTGTCTGAGGCCGGATTTGAACTCAGGTCCTCCTGAATCCAGGGCCCTGCTCTATCCACTGTGCCATCTAGCGGCCCCCATAATAAGTGTTTTTAAGATGTGCCAAATGTGCTTCTTGCCTTGCTGTTCAGTAGCCCTTTTATTCTCCTCTTCTTGTTTCCCTATTTCATTCTCCACAACAGCTTTTCCAAAACATTTTCTCTCTTAAGCTGACAAAACCCTACCCCTGCTTCCATATTCCTGGCAGATGACTTGGGTCTCCTTTACTCAGAAAAGACTCAGGCCCTTAGCTCTCCGTTACTGCACTTTAAAATTCTTTAGGGTCTTCCCCTGTCCCTTCTCCTCCTGGTTCAGAGTAATAGGTATTTCTCTTCCTTACCAAGATTAAAGCTTATAGATGATTATTTTGATACCATATGTCTGTTGTGTCTCCTCTAAGACATTGCTGTATCGGGAATCCTCCTCCCCCTCTCTCCTTCCCCTTCTCTCTTTTTTTTTCTATTTTTAAACATTTTTTTTTAGTATTTTTTCCCCAGTTACATGTAAAAACAATTTTAACATTCCTTTTTAAAACTTTGAGTTCCAAATGCTCTCCTCTTTTCCCACTCACCCTCACTCATTGAGAAGGCAAGCAATTTGATATAGGTTATACATGTGTAGTCATGCAAAACATTTCTGTAGTAGTCATGTTGTGAAAAAAAAAACATAGACCAAAAGGGGGGGGGGGTCAAGAAAAATAAAGAAAGCAAAAAAAGTATGCTTCACTCTGTATTCAGACAAGATCAGCAATTTCCCTGGGGATGCACAGCATTTTTCATCATCAGCTCTTCAGAGTTGTCTTAGATCATTGTATTTCTGAGAATAGCTACATCATTCATAGCTGTTACTTTGTACACAGTACATTTCACTTTGCATCAGCTCATGCAAGTCTTCCCAGGTTTTTCTGAAAGCATCCTGCTCAAGATTTCTTATGGCTTGGTCTATGACAGGTTGTTGTACTTGTCCTTCTTTCTCGAAGAGGACCATGACATCAGGGAGACGATGATACGACTTGCAGTTGACTTTGATTTGAGTTTGGGAGGGCTGTGCAAGGTCACCAGCCTCATTTTCTCCTCCAGAGCCATCTGGGTCTAGTGGCGAGATATAGATCAGGATGACCGGAGACGGCCCCAGATGCAGTGGGAGACCTTGGCCGGCCTTTTTAGGCTAAGGTCTTCTCAAGTTCTCACTTTGAGTGAGGCACCTCCCCTTCTCTCATTCTCCCTCTCTCCACTGTCTTTGCCTGACGACTACCTACTTTAAAAACAAACCTTTCCTTTTCCTTTATGCCCCCTGAAAGTACCATCCTCTCCTTCCTTTCACCATCAAAATTAATGAAATAAATAATGTTTGATGGTTCCACTCATCATCTGATTAGTTCTTAAGCCTTTACAGTCTGCCTTTTCTCCCCAAAACTGTATCGAAATTGCTCTCTAGAAGTCATCAGTGACCTTATTACTAAATCCAACCACCTTTTCTCAGTCTTCATCTTTCTTGACCTCTTCAGCATCAGACTACTGACATCCTAATAATTGATACCTTTTGTTTCTTTTCCATTACGTTTTCTGATATGCCACTTGCCCACTGTGGACCCTCATAACAGAGAAAAACACACTAAGCAAGATTAACCGACAAGCAACTTCATCAGCTGACATTGTATACCACATTCTGCACCCATAGCCCCCCACCTCCGTCCTTAGAAACGTCCCTTCTTAATGCCTTCTTTTCTCTTTTGTTTCCATAACTCTATACCCTCCTAGTTCTTAGAGTCTAAACAACCACTTGTTGCATATGTTGTGTGTGTTCCTTTTGTATATGGGACTAGATACCCATGGAA